AAGGAGGAGCCACTAAAGCGTAACTGCAGGACATCCAGAGGGCATCTCTGGCACAGGCTGGGGAGCCCGCGCCGGAGGAACCGTGAGATGCCCCTGGCCAGGAGAGTATCACATGGGGTGAGGGAAAATGCCTGGGAAGAAAATACGGGCAGAAAATGAGAACTGGTGACTTCAGGCAGGGCGTATGCATTGAATGTAATGGAGGAAATGCTGACAAAGCTTTTTTTTTTTTTTTTTTTGCATTGGAAACTAAGTTAAATGAGTTCTAAGTGTTTTTCAAAAAATACATATAGATATGTGTGTGTGGTGTTTGGATGAAAAATACTCCAGGAGTTGCCAGGCCAGGGAAGGCAGGATGGAGCGGGTTCGGGGGGCTCGAGCTCCCTTGGGATGGGGAGGGAGGGTCAGTGGGGATGAAGGAGGCAGGGACTGCCAGGGCAGGTTTAGGTTGAACATTAGGAAAAACTTCTTCACAGAAAGGGTTGTCAGGCTCTGGAAGGGGCTGCCCAGGGAGGTGGTCGAGTCCCCCTCCCTGGGGGGATTTAAAAGAAGGATAGATGAGGTGCTGAGGGCCAGGGTTGAGTGGTGGGAATGGTTGGACTTGATAATCTTAAAGGTCTTTTCCAACCAAATTGATTCTATGATTCTATTCCATGATTCTATGACTGTGCTTGGGGTCATTCAGGCTGCGGCAGACGGAGCCGCAGGCTTTGCAAATGCTCCATGCAGGCGCGGCTATGGGACGGTGGGGTTATTCCAGCACCACGAAGTAGACCCAGCCTCCTGCCGAGGCAGTGGAAAACCTGAGCTTGAAGCCTCCTCTTGCCAGTGAAGGCTTCTGTCAGTGACAAATGTGCAAAAGCATTTCAGCTATGTTCTTCAAACCACCTCGAAGTGTTTTGTCTGAGTCTTGTTGGGCTGGAACAAAGCTGGCCAGGCTGCCCTAAATGTCTCTGAGAGGAGAAGCTGCCCTTGTGCGGGGCACGCTGCCCAGCAAACCTGCGTCCTTTGCTGCCCTGGCAAATCCCTACTCCGAAACATGAAGGTGATGCTCCTAAATTAAACTGAGAGGCATCACCCTGCTCCCCTGACGCTAAATGGAACGTAGCACTGTATTATAATTTTATTTTAGATTATGTAATGTCTGTGGCCGCTTAGCCTCCCCGCAGCAGGGCACCCCCTGGGTCCCCACAGATGCGGTCAAAAGCGCCTTTCGTTATTTATCACGTGTGTCTTTTGGGCAGTTTGCTATTTCTGGGCACCGCTTGCTGAAGCCTCCACCGTGTTGTTAATGCCAGGCACGTCTGCCAGGTACACCTAGGCACGTACTATGGAGCTGTCGAAAACCATTTCTCCTCTTGCCTCCACAGCATTAAGAGGAGCGTGGCCAGCAGGGCGAGGGAGGTTCTCCTCCCCCTCTGCTCTGCCCTGCTGAGACCCCACCTGGAGCACTGGGTCCAGTTCTGGGCTCCCCACTTCAAGAAGGATGAGGAACTCCTGGAGAGAGTCCAGAGGAGAGCAACTAGGATGATGAGGGGACTGGAGCATCTCCCCTATGAGGAAAGGCTGAGGGAGCTGGGCTTGTTCAGCCTGGAGAAGAGAAGAGGGGATCTCATCACCACGTACCAATATCTTAAGGGTGGGTGTCACGAGGACGGAGCCAGACTCTTCCCAGTGGTGCCCAGCACCAGGACAAGGGGCAATGGGTACAAACTGAGACATAAGAGGTTTCAGTTGTATATGAGGAAAAACTTCTGTCCTGGTTTCAGCTGGGATAAAGTTAATTTTCTCCATAGTAGCTAGCATAGTGCCGTGTTTTAGATTTAGTACCAGAAGAATGTTGATAACACACTGATGTTTTCAGCTGTTGCCAAGTAGTGCTCAGACTACTCAAGGACTTTTTGAGCTTCTCCTGCTCGGCCAGGTGCATAACAAGCTGGGAGGGAGCACAGCTAGCACAGCTAACCCAAACTGACCAAAGGGCTATTCCATACCATATAACATCATGCTCGGGGGGGTTAGTTCGGTCGGTCGGTCGCTCGCGGCTCGGGGACTGTTTGCGGCTCGGGGACTGCTTGCGGCTCGGGACGGGCTGGGCATCGGTCGGCGGGTGGTGAGCAATTGCATTGTGCATCATTCGTTTTGTATATTCTGTACCCTTCCCAGTGGGGCCCAGCGCCAGGACAAGGGGCAATGGGCACAAACTGAAGCAGAAGAGGTTCCAGTTGAATGGGAGGAAGGACTTGTTGACTGTGAGGGTGCCCGAGCCCTGGCCCAGGCTGCCCAGGGGGGCTGTGGAGTCTCCTTCCCTGGAGATATTCAACCCCCGCCTGGATGAAGTCCTGTGTAACATGCTCTAGGAGAACCGGCTTTAGCACGGGGGTTGGACTGGGTGAGCTCCCGAGGTCCCTTCCAACCCTTGCCATTCTGTGATTCTGTGATCATCCTCCCAGAGCAACCACCATGCTGGTCACAGGGAGGAAGGACTAAGGATGCTTTCAGGGATCGCTTCAAAACCTGACTGCCTCCATCCTGGGTCTCCCTCCCAATCGCAAAGCCCCTGGTTTTGCAGCCCCACGAGCCCCGAATCGCTCCCAGGACGGGGTGCGGGGTCCCCTGGTGCCACCTTGGGGCCATGCATGGTCCTGCCTGGGCTCCCTGTGCTGTCCTGTTCAGCTTGCCCAGAATTGGCCCAAATTCATACCAACATGAACACCACCAAGATGCGGGGTTCAGGAAGGGAGACCGCTGCGGGGCGGTGCCGCTGAAGGCACGTGCCAGCATTGTTCACTGCACCGGGGGTTTTTTTTGTTATGGATGAAAATTCCAGCTTCCTTCTGACTTTTGTACATCTCCACTTCTGTGAACCTGAATTCTGCTTTTTAAAATAACTGTTACGCACGTACAGTGTCCTAAAATATACACCTAACCTACTTTCATCAAGTTCTCTTCTGAAGATGTCAACTTGCAGCTTAAGGAGCGGGGTCCATGTGGCAGGACATCGCCAAGGGTTTTTCTGCTCCTGGGGCAACCTGCTGAGAAGCAGTGGGGCTGCAGAAGGTGAAGCAATGATTTTTTATTTTTTTTTCCTTAAGGATCAAAGCAGTAATTGGAGCTTGTCATGAAATTCAGCATTTGGTTTTGGTTTTGGGACACACATGCAGGCATTCAGGGACTTGTCCAAACCACAGAAGTATGGAAACTCTGCTTGTTAATCCCCCAGGGAATGGCCTGACATGGAATTTCTGGGCTTTCTGCCTCCCATCCAGCAGCGATCAGTATCCCATTGCTGGGAATGCCGCCTGTCCAGGCTCTGGAAAGGGTGACAACAAAAAACAAACTGAAGGAAAACAATTTAGTCTTTCATAACCATCAAAGCAAGGTGCTAAGTGTCAGACAACATGTTGGATGTCTCTCTAGAAATACTGGGCGGCTCTTGTGGGATTTTTTTCTTTCCCCCATCCAGCTCTAGAGCTGGAGGTCTTCTCCAAATACCATCCAAAGCAGTCACTGCAGGACCCGACTTTCAAGCCCCTTGTGTCACGCAGCCGGTGGGAGGTGGATGTCCTCCTAAAGGCTACCTGGCTCCCCAAATGGGGGTATGATGTCCCCCAAGCCCAGCTGCAGCGGGATGCAGCCAGGGGAGGTGAGCGCGACAGAGTGCAGTGGTCCTGCAGAAGGTTTCAGTGCTGGGTACATGGCCTGGGACATCTGAGTGCTGTCACCTCCCTGGACATCTCTCAAGGCTACGTGAAGCTGATGCTGCTCATGGTCAACCTGATCCGTCCCAGGCAGAGCCTTGGTGCTCCTTCCCCATGCCCCAACTGGCAGCACCACCCTGGGGTTCGGTTATGAAGCAGAGCTGTGTGACTCAGTACATCTCATTTTTACTTCCCGCATTTGAACTCAGATTTCCAGCGGTGAAAACACTCATTTCTGAGTATTTCAAGGCCCTGGTGAAGAGGTTTATGAAGCATTTTTCACCCAAGCTCTGGGGAAGAAATGCAGCATTGTGAAGAGGAATAAAGACGCTCAATCTCCAAGGATTGATGAGCATATCCAGAACATGATGGGTTTATCCAGGTCACCTTTTTCATTCGCGCCCGGTAAGGAAATTAATGAAGCTCCCGGAGTTATTACCTCTAATTCATGACCTATTAATGGCAATAAAGCTTTAAGAAAGCACCAGAGATATTATGCTGAAGGGCAAAGGAAACACCCGTGCGTGGTTCTTACTGGTTTATCTTAGTGATTTGGAGTCCCATTTGGGAGAGAGGAATTACGGGGTTTGATCCCTGCTCCAAGGACTGCTCTGCATTTGACTGGGGAATAGCACATGTAATACCGGCACTTCAGAAACATGGCGATTGGGTAATTAAAGGCTGACT